GAATTTAAATCCGTTGCCTGTATATTACTCTTGGAAGCTGCTTTAAGTAAATGGTTTCCAATGTGTAAAAATATGTGGTTGGGCAATTCACCACTAGTGTGTGTGTGTGTGTGTGTGTGTGTGTGAGAGAGAGAGAGAGAGAGAGAGAGAGAGAGAGAAAGAGAGAGAGAGAGAGATGGATGCTATGCCTTTATCAAAATGAAGATGCTTTTGTTCATTTGTCCAAATATGAGTCATAAGATAGAGGACTTGTGTTCTCTACAGCTGTTGATAACGGGTACTGACATGATAGCCTGCCCGACCTTGTAAAGGTCTGAGACAGAGGCAAAGGCACATTTTTCAAATGGCACTTTCTTTCTGTACCTGCTCATGAGTTTCTAGTTGCTTGTGACTGTCAAGGGCAGCACCCTCCCCCACCCCGCCCCCAATTCTCAGAAGCAAAGTCTGGCTACAGCTGAATCTGCGAGCCCTTTGCTCCCTTTTCCCATCACTGCCAAGAGGCAGTTGCTGCTGAGAGAATCACATTCTGAAGTGGAGGAATTCCTGCAGGGCAAAACAGGTGGGGCTAAGGAAAGCCTCCCCCTCAGGGTCTCATAAAACCTGGTTTATGATACAACTTTTACAAGGATTAGATGAATTTATGGAGAATATGGCTATCAGTGGTTGTTGGCCTGATAGCAAATGGAAGCTTTATGTCCAGAGCCACCTATGCCTGAATACCAGATGTTGAGGACAAATGTCACCCCCTGCTTCAGGCATCCTCCAAGCATCTGGCAACAGAGAAAGGCTGGCCTGGCAGGGCACTCCTGTGGCTTTAACCTCTAACCAGCTATGGCTAACAGCCAACATTGTGGGAGGAAGCACATTCTCATTTAGGTAATTTTTTACATTTCCGACCCTTTTCTCCCAACTACCCAGGGTTTGCATAGGAGGCTGCCTGATACTGAACCAGACCTGGGAATCATCTAGCCCAGTATTGTTGACACAGACTGGCAGCAGCTTTCCAGGGTGTCAGGCAGGAATTTTCCCCAACTGTACCTGGAGATGGCAGGGATTGAACCTGGAATACTCTGCAAGGAAAGCAGGTCATTTTGCTTACCTGCTTTTGTTAGAAAGTTCCCATCTTACTGTGGGGGTGTGTCCATTTGTTTGTTCTTTATCTCTCTCATTCATTCATCATTCCCTTTATAAGTTGACAAATCGAAGATGTCATTGTCTGGACTGCCCTTAAAATTCCATGAATGAGGCAGTGAGGTAGCACAGTAAATGCCTCATCTAGAGGCCAGACTCACCTTTGGCTGACTGCCCATACCTGCTGATCTAAAAAAGCCCCATGGGAGGTGATACTTTGCAATATCTCCACCAGATCTTATTAAAAGGCAGGAAGTCATGGAGGATGCAGACTGCTGGAGAAATCAGTGCACACATACAAGCTCACACATACACATGTTTCAGCTATCTCCTAACTAGAAGAATGCAGGAACAAGACCCACAGGACCAAAAATGTCTTCCACCCTTGAAACATTTTTCAAAAGCATGAAATGGAATGAAGATCCTTGGAAACATGAATGAACTTTTTGCACAGCACTAATATTAAGAGCCTGGATCACAAATTGCTCTGAATGTACCACAAAAGCAGAAAAAACACATGGCAAACCTGCAGGGAAAGCTTGGAGGGAGGAACCTGAAAGAGGAAGAACCAGGCTGACCAGCTGTGACCCATTGGTTATAATAAAGTCACTTAAAGATTGTTTCAGGTTTTATTTTAAGGAAAACAACATAGGACTAAGAAAGGGGAGAAGGTATAAAAATGTAATGTTCCTTTCAGTAGAATAACAAAGTTGAGGCTTCTGACAGCCTTGTTTTCCCTTTAGTGAGTAACCAGCGAGTTATCCTTATAGGACTCTTTCCAAACTGAAGTGTGACCCAAGATCAAAGAGGTCTACACTGCCTGTTTATATTTAGTATTGGGTCACAGAAGCCTTCTGCTACCCAGAATCATAAGTACCATTTCAGTGATTTGTGGGGGGGGGGGGTATAAATGTCCCACTACCAGTGTAGCTCACCATTTAAAAACCTGCACAAAGATAATGATTCCTTTATCATTGGAGTTAACTGTTCCTAATTTGATTGCTTGTTACAAGGCTAATCCCAGAATGCTGCTTGATTTGTTGATTAAAATTATATAATCAGAGCTATGCAATTATGTCTTTTACAAGTTTTTCAGGGTTCTAGGAGGAAGAAAAGTGTTAAGGAATCTGTGAACAGGAAAAAAAAATATTTTGAATAGACTTAGTGCAGTTAGCATACAATGGCCTTACACAAACCTCTAGAGTTGTCACAAGGCCAATCACCCACACGCCCATCTAACTTAGTAATTGGGGTTTAAAAAGAGAAAGGGACAAACTTTAGTAAAATCTTTCTGCTTTTTTACCTGGGAGGAATTCCTGCTTGGCAATGGTGAGTCAGGTAGCTATTTCTCATATAAGCAGTGACATATGAGAACCCTGAATGAGGATGGTGGATTACTGACCCTGCAATTGAGAGAGAGAGGAACTACACCAACAGAGAGAGAGAGAGGAACTACACCAGTGGTGGCGAACCTATGGAGGGAGTCTTCTCCAGTATGGCATATTTATGTTTCTCAACTTTAATACCAATGTTTCTGTATTAAAGTATGTTTGATGGGGGGAATTTACAGATTTGTGGTAGCGATGGTGCAGCTTGCAGTGGTTGTTAGTTCTTACTTATTGGCAGAATAGTAAACTTCATTTTAGGGTCAGTCTCTGTCTCTCATGAAGAGCTGAAGCTGCAGTTTAGTTTTACTCAGGGGCAGATGTCTAAGAGACATCACTTCTGGTCTGTGGCACACCATGAGGACTTCCCTGAGAACTTCAGTCTTGTGAAAAGCTCCAATTACGTTTTCAGTGACTGATTCTCTCTCTGGATAGCATCCTAGGTTTGTGAAGGAGCGGATGCCATCCGTTGCATCAAATTTAATGTGTTCTATTGGAATCCATTTCAGAGTCAATCCATTGTACAATAAGGACTTCATTCTCTGGCTCCAATTTCCCTTGAAATCTACTACTTATTAGTATTGTGCATTTCTTACAACTTTCAATACTTATGTTTTCTTGAGCAAGTATGTCAAAAGGCTGTGAAGAAGCCAACATCAAGTATAATTACTGCAAAGTAGGGCTGCTTCTATGAAAGGACTTGCTGTTACATTTCAGATGTTCATTTCCTTTTGAAAGGTTTAATAAACTGACATCTGAGGAGGTCTCTGAATACCTAAATCAAACTCAAGTGTTCTCTGCTTTCTCTGATTTGTTTGCAGAATTTCACAGCTGCAAGATCTTGTATAACACTGAGCAAAAGAATTCATCAAACCATGAACACAATAGAGCTTTCTATAGAAGACACACTTAATTAGAAGCTTTTTTTGTTTGTTAGGCAAAACTTTACCCAGAAAGTCATGAGAGAAAGTTAATAAGTCTAGCAGAATCTGCAACTTCAGGAGCATGTGTCTGCTTTGGCTAGTTGAGAAGGCAAGAATTATATATACTTAAATCCATCTTTTTCCATTAGGTTCAGCATGGGTAATAATAGTCACTGGTAGAAGTGATAATAGACACAGCTACATTCATATGATTGGAAAGAAGCTGAGCCTGTACTGGTGCAAAGACAAAAATAGGTTTGTGGACTTGGACTGACTCCGTCTGACTGTGGCCATTCACTGCTGTGATCTCCAGTGAATCAGGCACCTCAATTCCCAGAGGAGAGAACTAACAGTTTGCATACATTGGCACTCATTCATTCCCAATCCCACAAGCTAGGTCAGACCAAGAGTTCAGCCACACCCTCCCTTGCTTTTCAAGCAAGGCCCTCCAGTCAGATTGGTTGCTGCAGCAGTTGGCCCAGCCCACCAAGAGCTATATAAGAAGGCAGGCTTGCAAAGAGCTAGCTCTCCAGATGCAAGGAACCCCAGTGCCAAAGAGTCTCAGCCCATAAGCAAGTTGAGTGACTTTGCTCCCTTCACTAGTCTGGAGGGGAAAGTGCAATTGCTGCAGCCATTTCCTACCAAAATAGCGAACATGTCCCTAAAATCAGCCCTTGTACCAGAGGATTGGAGAATGGACAATATAACAGTGATTTTTACAAAAGGGATCCAGGGGGATCTGGGAAATTACAGGCCAGTTCATTTAACATCTGTTCTGGGTTAGCTGCTTGAAAGCGTTATTACAGATAGAATCACTAAGCACATAGAGGGACAAGCCGTCCTGGGGGTGGGGGGGATCAGCATGGATTCCACAAGGGGAAGTCTTATCTCACTAACTTACTGGAGTTCCTTGAGAATGTAGACAGGGACACATTGTTTACTTGGACTTCCAAAAGGCTTTTGACAAAGTCGCTCACCAAAGTTAAGCCGTCATGGAATAAAAGTTTGAGCAGTCTTATGGATCACCAACTGGTTGAAAAACAGAAGACATCCTGTTTGAGGGATTCTGTAGGTTTGCCACGGTGTGTATGGAGTGCTGGACTAGATGGACCTTTGGCCTTATCCAGCATGACTTGTCTTATGTTAATTAAAAAAAAAGTTCAGAAAAAGATATGTGGTTTATGGAGTCATTTGTTGGCAGTAGAAGTAAGGTAATATTCATGCCACTGGGTATGAAAGAGCAAATGGGAGGAGAATGTGCCATCAAGAAGTCAACAAATGATTTGGATAACCTCGCTGCTTTTGTTCATTTTTCTCAACAAATAATTTCATTCAGTATAGCATTATAATGATTGTATTATATTACACACAGTATCACACAGATTAATAAAAGGGTAGTAAATACTTTGCTAAAGACCAAACAAAAAACAAAAAAAAGCTAGTTGATAAGTCATTTAACCTGACCCATGCCTGACGTTAAAATCAGTATTTCTTTGTATTATGCTCTTAAGATGCCCATTGCCTTTGTCCTAGTTAATGTGTCTGTGTATTCTGTTAACAGACCAGCCATACTCATGGTCTCCTACCCAGCAGCACTTCAATGAGGAAAGTTACTCTCCTGTTTCAAGGAACATGAAAGGATTATCTGGCAGTCGCAATCAACCACAGCTATGTTCTGCGCATACATGTGGTCTGGCATCTCCTGAGGATTGTGAACACGCCCACGATCATCTTCACCATGGCCAGGAGTCAAGGCAGTCCTACCTTCTCAGTCCGACGGAGAGCTGTCCAATGGACCACCATCGCTGCTCACCCCGCAGCTCCATCCATTCAGAATGCATGATGATGCCCATGGTTATGGGCGATCATATGTCCAGCAGCACTTTCCCCAGAATGCACTACACCTCACATTACGATACTCGGGACGATTGCACCATGTCTCACACCAACACCAAGATTAATCGGATCCCGGCAAATCTGCTGGATCAGTTTGAGAAACAACTCCCTCTCCACAGGGATGGCTTTCATACTTTACAATACCAGAGGACTTCAACGGCTGCTGAACAACGCAGCGAAAGCCCGGGGAGAATACGCCATCTTGTTCATTCTGTTCAAAAACTTTTCACAAAATCTCATTCTTTAGAAGGATCTTCCAAGAGCAATGTCAACGGGACAAAAGGAGATGGGCGAGGGGATGACCATCACCATGGACATCATTCTAAACATAGCAAAAGAAGTAAAAGCAAAGAGCGGAAACCTGAGACTAAGCATAAAACTGGGATGAGTAGTTGGTGGAGCTCTGATGATAATTTGGACAGCGATAGCACTTACCGTACACCTAGCGTTGTAAACAGGCACCATGTGGACCATATTTCTCACTGCTACCCAGAAGCCCTTCAGGGACACTTCGGAGATCTCTCATTGAAGACTTCAAAGAGTAACAATGATGTAAAATGTTCAGCTTGTGAAGGGCTTTCAATGGCCCCTGATGGCAAATACATGAAAAGGAGTTCTTGGTCCACACTTACAGTGAGCCAGGCAAAAGAAGCATATCGCAAGTCATCCCTTAACCTAGATAAACCTCTAGTTCACCAGGAAGTAAAACCTTCCCTGAGGCCATGCCATTATCTTCAGGTAAGAGCTGAATGCAGTGAATGCTATTAATTGGGCAGGAGCAAGCAATTATCAAATCAGCCACAGGGGATTCTGCGTGCATTTTGTACATTTTTTTTTCAGTTCCCTGGTTTTGCACAGTTCATCTGCATCTGGAAATAAAATGTGAGAAGAGAGAATGGAGATTGTTCTTATTAATATGTTCTCCATAATATATGAGTAATAGTATCTAAAATAAAATGCAATCGAATTGGTTATGTAAATAAGAATTGTAATAGGTCATAATTTAAACTTAACAAACCCCATCAGCTACTTATGGTTTTAATCACCTCACAAGAATATTTTCATTTTTAAAGCTCAATTTCTAGTAGAGATTATGAAAATTTTGTTTCAGTTTCATAAGGTACTCAAAAATGCCCCCTTTCTAAACTTCAGAGTGAATGTGAACAGGAGCACAAGTTCTCTGAAAATGTTCACAAAGTCAAGTCCTGACCTTGTGTTCGTAGCCACAAAATCAGCACAACTTTTCCCATTCAAACCAACTGAAAAACAGGCCAAAAACAAGAATAAGAGCAAGCCAAACCATCTTTTAAAGTTCAAAGAATTTAATTGAGCTTGCGCATCCCTGCTTCTCCTATCTCTGTTTCTAGCATCTTCAATTGCTATTTCATTTCTGAACCATTTACAAACTCCTAGTAACAATAATGACCTCCACAAATCCTTCCCTTTAGTACTGCTAACCAAATGGGAGAATATGCCAGTGGGTTCTCTGGACAAAGCATGTTTCAGCTTTGGAAGAGAACTCTTGTTGCTATCTTTGAATGTCATACCCAGTATGTGCATCTGATTTCTGCCATGCTTAAGGATCAGAAAATGTCCAAATGAGACTCATTTGTTTCAGTGTATGTTATAGAGTCCAACACCATGTCTATAAAAGAAATGCAGCTTCAGGAAGGACAAATTTAGAGTAGAGGTGAGCTGGGAGGAGATGCCTTTAAGCTTGAAGTATTTGTCTTGTTTTAGCCTGAAGACTGAATTTCATTTCTGATACCACATTTCAGTTGTGGCTAGGGATGAAGGCAAAAAAGAGTAAGCAAACAATATGAAAAACACCAACATACTTTAGCTTGTTTTGTTCATTTGATTTTTGCATTTTTAAACTGACCAATAACTGTGATGTGCAATACATTAAAATATATAAAAGAAACTTAAAAATAAAACCAGCACAGAATCAAACCTAAATAAAACCAGCAGCAAAGAATAGACCCACTGCAACATCCCATCCAAAAAGAAAAACCTTAAAACCAGAAGTAGAATAGAATACTAAAAGCAATAAAATCAGTTCTCAGAATGCCTGGGAGAACGAAAAGTCCAGAAAAACCATCATTTAGATACCAGGTGAGCCTCTTATGGGAAAACGTTCCACTAATGCTGTACCACCACTGAAAAGGCCCTCACTTTTGTAGCCACCCACCTTGCTTCATCTGGCAGAAGCACCTGGAGAATCCTTGGATAGTTATTGTCACGCCCAGGTAGTGCAACTCAGAGTTCTTACTGCTAATAACTAAGCCTTAGAAGAAATGATCCAACCTTTTAGAATGGGGGGGGGGGGGGCACAAAATCTGGGAAGCCATCCAACAGTGTGTGGTTGGGGGAAAGGGGTGGAGCCAGAGGATGGAAGCATGGCCTTCCAGGCACCTCAGAGATTGTCCACCTCTACTGCTAGCCTTTACTTTTCCATCTTTTCTCCAAATGACCTCTGGCTGTTTGTTTTTTCTCTGCCTGTCACAGCTTTCCTGCAAGTTCTCCCTTTCCTGAAACTGCGTTTAAAATGGTGCCAGGCTTTGTCATGCACACATCATATGCACACATACACACACAAGGTGTAGTTCAACCTTTATTTGTAGCTAAATGTCAATGTCAAGGTGCACACATTGGCTGGCAGTTGTGTTTTTTCCTCCTGTTAAGGCAACAATTCTCTACATGCTAAAGTCCTGTTGACAGAAATGCCCCCTCTTGGTCTTGAGGGATCTACATGATGTGACTTGGAAGATCCATAATAAAATCCATGCAGAGGTCCATCCAGTCCTGCACTCCACACACGCACAGTGGCAAACCAGCTAGTCATGGGATCGCTCAAACAGGATGGGTGCAAGACCTCTACCTGCCCAAGCTCCTCAGCAGGCATGATGAGGATCTTCCATTGTCTTTCAATAATTAGCACCTAATTATGAGGTGCACCGAAGATTGTGAAATTGGCACTGCAGAGCATAGAATAGTTGATTTGGAAGGAGCCAAACAGGCCATTGAGTCCAACCCCCTGCTGGTGCAAGGTGCCAGTTACACCATCCCACTTGGATAACTGTCTATTTTCTTCTCAAATGCCTCCAGTGTTTAAGAGCCCATAACCTCTCTTGGGAGCTGGTTCCACTGTCATCTTGCTCTTACAGTTAGGAAATCTGTCCTTGTGTCTAGCCTGCGCCTGGTGTGCTGGAGCTTAAATCCATTCTTCTGAGTCCTACAACCTGGGATGAGTGAGAGGTCTTTCCCCTCTCCTTTGTGACAGCCTTTGAAGTACCTGCAGAATGCTATCATGTCACCGCATAGTCTCTTTTTCTCAGCAGGCTCAGTTCTTTCAGCTTCTCATTATATGACTTATTTTCTAGTCTCTGTGTCATCTTGGTTGCCCTCCTCTGAATCCTCTCCAGATAATCAGCATCCTTTTTAAACCTGGGTGTCCAGAACTGAATGCTGTAATCCAGGTGAGGTCTGCCTGGTGCAGAGTAGAGGGGAATGAGCACTTCTCTTTTTCTGGAAGTGATGCCTCTATTTATGCATCCCAAAATAGTGTTTTCCTCTTTTGTGGGATGGGATTGCTGATCCCTACCTCTTCCCTCACACATATTTGCCTGTCTAAATTGTTCCTGCCCAAGCTGTGTGGCAGGAAACATACAGCTGTTGTGTGAGTTCATATATTTTGGGGACACTGAGGCAACTTCGATTAGGGAAACAGTGAATATTAAGCACCCTTTCACCTTATTTCCTTCTCAGAGATGCTGTGTGAAACTTCTCATTTGTTTGTTTTGAAGAACGCCTACACTATATCCCCCATTTTTCCTTTCAGGAACTGTTCCGCCTCTTCTCAAATTTATCCTCACAACAGAGGTTAGGCTGAAAGCCTGTGACTGGCCCAGAGTCACCCCATGAGCTCCATGGCTGAGCAGGGATTACTCCCCGGAGCTCCCAAATCCCCAGTCCAACACCACAGCCACTGTGCCACACTAGTTCCCAGCACATTCCCTCTGTTGAGTCTGGCCCTAAGCATGCAGAGGACTGAGTGGATCATTCTCCTGTTAGAAGGGCCTTCTCACTTGTGCTATAATCAATCCACATGTTCACATGGCTTACATTAACCTATCTCTGCTTGAGTCATTTGGTCTGCAATGATATTTGCCAATATCTTTGACTTATTTGTAGGAGACAATGTGTAACCCTTGAATAAACAATCGGATACAGACACTATTTAAAGCTATTCACTAGACGGTGGAAGAAGAAATATTTGAAATGAGGCCTGGTTATCTGGAGGCTTTTTAGAAGATGTATTTAAGGTTCAAGGAAGTGCAACCCTGCTTCTCTTATTCTTAAAATGTAATAAAAGGCAATCTGCTATTGATTTTGTTCTGCTCAAATGCTCATGTAACTGGGCCAAAAAATATACTTAGCGGCACGCTGGCTAATTTAGGATTAAGAAGTTGCTGCTGAATTGCTAAATCTTCTCCTTTAAATACAGGTCAGGTGCATGTTCAGCACTATGCTGATGTCAACATCTCTAAAGAGTTCATTGAAAAGTATCTTTCTAGAACAATAAACAAAGTGAAAGGCAGGGTTAAGACAGGGCAGGAAATGACCTCATGCTTATCTAGAGGCATGGCTATTTCTGTTAGCTTATTTTAATTCTTTTTTATAACCTGGGATTATGCAGATAAAATAACTGTCGCGGAAGTGAGAAGACCATGTTAAAATAAGTTTTGTAATCCTTGTTTACAGCAAAAGGGGAAAAACTCTTCCCTTTGAGGTGCAATTACTAAGCCCTTTTTCTTCATTATCCATCTCTTGAAAATTAGGATGCCCTTAGTGTTAGAACTGGGAAAGACCTGCTGCAGCTGTTTCCTCAAAGAACATGAACTAAGCTCAGAACAGGCTCACACACACATTACCCCAAAAGCAGCAAGCCCTCAAAAACAACCAGTTTTTCCTTCAACTCCCATTTAAACCTCATTTTGAGCATATTCCAGATTAAAAGTCATTGGCTCCATGTTCCCCTTTTCCTTTCATCACCCTCTGCATTGCACCTTTTCCTCTCTCCTTGGGTAACAGCCAGCCCACTTCCTCTGCAGTTTGCTTGCATGCCATTCCTTTCCCATGTGTAGCAATCAGTCCACACAGACCTTGGACCAGCAGCGTCAGCAAGAAAGTCCTCTGCTAGAAGACACTAGTGCATCCCCCTTCAGAGGGTCAGGTTCTCTGTGGGCTGTAGCTTAGGCCACGGGGATGGGTTGTGTTTCAGCAGCAGTAGTTTGCTGCTCTCCGTTTGTCAGTTAATCCACAGTGGAGAGAAATTTGGTGGTGAAGCAGAGTCAAGGGCTGGAGTCCATCCATATCAGCAGAATCCATTCCAACAGCAGTATCGGTGGCTATTTCTGCAGTGACACCATTTTGGGCAGTAATTTGACAAGGGGGGAGAATTCAGGGGCAGCAAAGGGCTCTCAGCAGGCTGCAGAGGGGACCAATGAGGACAGCCTCCGGCTTAAAGGTCCGTGGTTGCCCATGTGTGCCCTAGCAAATCCTTAAAACTTATTGTATCATCACAACATCAGGGTGTCATTTCATCTCTGTTCATCGGGGGGAGGACGCATTGACAAACAAGGACTTGAAAATGGGAGCAAAATTTCTGATCGCTCCACTCACTGCCCTGCCAGGAGGGGGCGCACAAAAGCCTGACACTTGTTCACATAACCTTA